GAGCATTGTTTCGTTCTGCTGTGCATGGGGTCGCTATGAGTCGGTTCCGACTCGATGGCACCTGACAACAACAACAACAATCAGGGCAGTGGTCTCATTGCTTAGGCGACCCTGAGCTTCTGTTAGGGGTGATGGAAAAACCTGGAAATGGATCATGGTGATGGTTGAACAACACAGTAAATGTAATTAATGTCGCTGAACTGTATACATGAAGAATGTTGAAATGGCAAATGTTATGTATCTATTTACCACAGTTAAAATAAAAGGGAGTATGTGCACACTGGCTTGCTTCATATAAGCCACATTTCCTTATAACTTATTACGTTAAAAAAAAATTCATATAGTGTCCTTTCTATGTAAAATTTTTCCCTTAATTTTCAAGTCTTTAAATTTAACTCTCACGTATGACTTCTGCATTTTGTATCTCAAGAAAGTCTATGTCTAAAGGATATTCTTCTATATTTAAAAAAATTTTTTTACACATTTATTTTTTCCAGATAGAATTTCCCTGGAATTTTATTTAAATATGTGATGAAAGAGAGCTAATTAATTTCCCCCCCATTGGAAAAATTAATTGCTCTGGAATTGATCATAATTATTCATGCTTCTTTACTCTTCCACGTGAATTTTTAAATTAGTTTCTTGAAACTCTTGACAGAGAATTCTGATGGATATTGCCTTGAGCTCATGAATTAATTTGAGTACTGTAGACATAGTCTTTGTCTAATTCTGTTGTCTGATACTGCGCTGATTGAGTACACTGTCGCTTGCACATGGTAGATTGTTCCATGTGTTTTGTGATGGTAGTTCTCCATCATTAGTGGACCTGACTGTGGCTGTGGGGAGCCTAGATTTAGGGGGTTCCTCCAGAGAAGTTTCATCTTTGCTTCTATCGTGTTCTCCAGAGCTGCTACCAACTCAACTCCAGCTTCAGGAAACTGATGAACTTCCTGAAATTCCCTCTATTTGAGATTTGTTACAGTTGTTTGTTGATTTTGTTTTAAATTATTGTTCTTGTGTACCATCTAGCTGATTTTGATTCTCAGTTATTCTATATGATAGAGTAGAACTTCTTCATAGGCTTTCCTAGGTTTCAATCTTTACAAAAGCTAATCACCAGATCTTTCTTCCTGTGGAGTGACTGGTGGGTTAGAATCTCCCACTTTATGGTCAGCAGCAAGTGTGTAGGCTAGCTTAACCATTGCACTACCAGGGCTTTAAAACCAAACCAAACCAGTGGGTATTAATTTTTATCGACTTATTTTGCTGCTTCTATTAAGAGAGTCCTCTGTTTCTACCAGTATAATCTGAAAACATAACAGTCACATCTACAACAGGGCTTGAGGAAGTTTGTATGGAGGAGACAGTTGGTGAATATTTGTTGAATCAACAACCACATCCTTAAACCAAGCTAACTGATGTTTTGTCCTGTGCAGAAAAGGGACCTTGCTATTCAACAACATCTTTTCCATCATACCTGCAATCTTGATGGGCTGCAGCAAGATGGCCCAGTCATATGAAATCATCATTTTTTCCAGACTTTTGGTGGGAATATGTGCAGGTAAGCAATGCCACACTGTTTTGTCAGTCTGTTATTAGGGATGATCGAGGAGGAGGAAGAACAGGCTCCCGGGGATCCAACCCAATCTGGGGTCTCTGAAGCATACAAATGCAAGCTGTTCCTTTGCCTCTGCAGTGAAATAGATGCTCAAGCCCCTCTATTATTCTCATGTGCAGACTGCATTCCTGTGATCCTTGCTGGGAGGCTTCCTGCAAAGAAAGCTGCTCTTTGGAAGCACTGAAAGACAGAATCCTAGGTTCAAAAGGGAACTTCCAATCCAAGGTCTTTATATTTGATGTTTCTAAGCTGCCGGCCTGTGTCTAGTTAATGGGCGGTGAAATGTTTAGTGAGAAATATTTTATATATTTTTTTAAAAAATGCAATAGAATAGAAATACTGGTAACAGTGGGAGCTAACCGTGCCCAGCTCAAAGAGGGTTGGCGATTGCATAGCTTTGAATGTGTGTCACTCTCCACAGTCTTGGCAATTTTCCATGTTCTCATATCAGGCTCCTGAAAGGACTCACAAGCCTCTTCCAAACCTCCCATTCCTGGGCTCCAACCTGTAATATTTCCCATTCCAGTTATCATACCAGACATCCACATTTTGCAAATTCTAGTCTGTCTTGGTTTTGCTTCATTGACTGGTTCAAACCAGTTTGACGCCATAGTTCTCTTGTCTGTAATCTTTACAGAAGCACATTGTCAGTCTTTTCTTCTAAGGTGTCAAGGAGTAAGTTCGAACTGCCAACCTTTAGGCTACTAGTTGAGGACAAACTATGTCACCCAGAGACCTTAGTGTTTATATACTGAGCTATCATTTCATGTTGCTTCTCTAGAAAAAGAAATTCAAGTAGACACTAAGCATTAAAAAAATATGCTTAACCTCATGAATAATCAAATGTACATGAAAGAAAACATGAAATACTGTTTTCTTCCCATCCTACTGGCAAACAGTCAATAGAACAGAAACCTCCAGTGCTAGAGAGAATGTTTGTTGTTGTTAGGTGCCATCAAGTCAGTACCCATGCATAGTGACCCTATGCCCAACAGAACGAAACACTGCCCAGTCCTGTGCCAACCTCACAATCGTTACTATGCCTGAACCCATTGCTGCTGCCACTGTGCCGATCCAAGAGAGAATATAGGAAAGCAAAAACTCAGCCTTTTAAGACATGAGTCTGAATTACTACAACTTTTTAGAAAAGTACTTTGAAAATGTTTATCAAGATTAAAAATATCCCAAACACGTTGAATCCAACTTTTGTTGCAAGATGACCATAGTATACACCAATGTAAGCACATCATTGTTCTTAGTGGCTAAAACTGGAAACACCATGGATGCTTATTTATCAATGAGAAAATGTTTGAATTATATGAGGAGGATTCAAAAAGTTCATGGAAAAATAGAATGAAAAGATAATGGAATTTTCCCATAACTTTTTGAAGCTCCCTGGTACAAACAGGAAAATTATATAGTCATTAAAGCAAGTAAAATAATTCCATTTTTATGTATTGAATTTGAAGGGGAATTTCCTTCATTTGAAGTCCTAGTGTGACACTGTAGGATAAACACTGGACCTCAAGGTCAGTTTGAACAGCAAGGTCGTCTTGAACTGCAAGGTTGGTGGTTCAAACCTACCCGCTGCTCCTCAGAAAGCCCTATCCAGACTTGAAATGAGTCAGAACTGACTTAATGGCACTTACCAGCATTCATGATTTACTAGTAAATGACCATCACAAAGTTAAAATACAAAGAGAGAGAGAGAGAGAGAGAGAGAGAGGGAAATAAATACTAGTAACATAGTGCAGTAGTATAGGGCTCTTTTGCTGTTGTTGTTACGTGCCATCGAGTTGGTACTGACTCATAGCGACCTTATGTACAGCAGAACTTATTAACACTGCCTGGACCTGGGCCAACCTCACTGTCATTGCCACATTTGAGCCCATTGATGCTGCCACTTTGCCAATTCATCTCGCTGGAGGTCTTCCTCTGTTTCTCTGACCCTCCACCTTACCAAACATGATATCCTTCTCCAGCAACTGGTCCCTCCTGACAATATGTCTGAAGTATGAGAGATAAAGTTTGGCCATCTTGGCCTCAAGGAGCACTCCGTTCAGTTTGGAAGCTCTGCTGAAACCTTGGGTGACCTTGTTGGTATTTGAAATACTGATAACATAGCATAGTATAGGGCACTTTGTTGTTGTTGTTGTTATGTGCCTTGGAGTCAGTTCCGACTCATAGCGACCCTACACAGGGTTTCCGAGGCTATAAATCTTTACAGGAGCAGACCTCCTCATCTTTCTCCTGCGGAACCGCTGGTAGTTTCGAACTGCTGACCTTGCAGCTCGCAGCCCGATTCGTAACCACTACGCTACCAGAGCTCCTTTAGAGTATGCAAAAGATGTTTCCAGGGTACTCATTCACTTTCCCCTCCTGTGAGAAGCTAATGACTTGTCTGGGATCTCTCACCTGGTAACTTATAAAGCAGGTTTTCAAAGACTGATCTATTGTCCTCCAGACCTATTGGCCAGGCTGTACTGCAGTTAGTGGTTTGGGGACTTTCTCCCATAATTGGCATTAACTAAAGAGATATTTCCAAACCATGATGTTTCCATTCGCCTAATATGCATGCGAAAGTTAGACAATGGATAAGGAAGGCAATAGAAGAATTAATGTGTTTTAGTTAATGGTGTTGGAGAAGAATATTAAAAGTACCAAGGTCTGCCAGAAAAACGAACAGATCTATGTTGGAAGAAGCACAACCGGCATGCTCCTTAGAAGCCAGAATCATGAGACTTAGTCTTTCACACTTCAGACATATTACCAGGAGGGACTAGTCCCTGGAGATGGATATCATGCTTGGTAAAGTGGAGGGTCAACAAAAGAGAGGGAGACCCCCCCAGTGAGATAGATTGATTGGCACGGTGGGCACAGCAATGGGCTCAGGGGTCACAGAGATTGTGAGGGTGGAACAGGACTGGACAGTGCTTCTTTCTGTTTTGCATAAGGTCACCATGATTCAGAATCCACTTGACAGCACTTAACAACAGAGAGGAGTCCTGGTGTGGCACTAGAGGATAAGCCCTGGGCCAAAAGACCAGTTTGAACCATAAGGTCGGTGGTTCAATGCCAGCAGCTCTCCTGGGACACCCTATGCAGGGTCACTATGAGCCAGAACCGACTCATTGACACTTAACAGCAGCGGGACACTGTGGTTCAAGCTATGGTTGTGCCCCTCCCCACCCCCAGGTGCATCTTTTTTAGGGCAGTGTTTCCCAGGGTCATGCCAGGGGAAGTGAGCAAGGCTTCTGGAGAGTCAAGTTTAAGGAGGTGCCCACTCTCAGGGTGCTGCAAATGCAGGGTAGGCACCCAAGAGAGGCCTCTGGGAAGTTCCTGCCCTAGCATCACCAAGTATCTCTGATTCATTCTCTCTTTCCAAGCATGAGGTAGAGGAGAAGGGGTGATTTAACCAGATGTCAGCCCCCTCAGTTGGAGTTAACCGACAGTGGTTCAATTTGTCAGTTAACTGACAAAGTGCAGTCCAGGAGCTTGGTGCTAGGGGCAATAATGAAGAATTGCAGGGCTGGGGAGAAAAATAAGGGAAAAGATTCCCACAGAGAAAAGAGACCATTCCAAGGGGAGATGACGGACCCCAGCAAGCTGGACTTGGTTGGCAGTTTTCCCTGAGAACATGTGGATACCTGGACCCCCAGCCCTGTTCCTGCCTGTCGGTGGGGCCTGCAGTGAGCTCAGCTGTTGCACTAGATTGTTGATTCCTGAAGTCGTGGGCAGTTCCAGTCACTTTCTTAGTGACCAGGATTGCTGCTAAAGGTATCGGTAGCCCCTGACTTACATGGGCTTTCATCCTATTGTAACTTGGTTCTGACGTAAATTGTATACCTCTTTCTATTATTACTACATTTTATTATCAGTATCTTTATAAATCCAATCTCTATTTGTCTTTCTGGGTTGGAAACATTACTTATAAATTTACAGAGAGTGATAACATCTGCAAAATTATATACTGTATGTAGATACATATAACTAATCATATATGTACAAAAAAAATACAAATAGACCATCTCAAGGGTGGCTTGGCATAATTCACATACGTTGTGATTTGGGACTATCTGTAGTAGGCCTCAACAGATAACAAACCACAGTTAACATTTGTAACCTTTCTCCTTAAATAATGTGACTTGTACACGAAGCCCATCATCTCCCCTTGGAATGGTGGTTAAAGCTCTTGGCTGCAAGCTAAAAGATTGGTTGTTTGAAGTCCCCAGCTGCCTGGCAAGAGAAAGACATAGTAGTTGGCTTCCTGAAAGATTTTCAGTCTTGGAAACCCTTCGAGGAAGTTCTACTTGGACCTGTAGGGTTGCTATAAAATGGAATCAACATAACAGCAGCGAGTTTGGTTTGGGCGGGGGTAGAGCAAACGGTTAGTTAATGCAACTCATGTGGTCCACTGCTAACCAAAAGGCTAGAGATTCAAATCCACCCAGAAACCACTTTTAAGAAAGGCTTGGTAAAAATTCTGCCAGTGGAAATCCTGTGGAGCACAGTTCTACTCTAACGCACATGAGACTGTTATGAGTCAGCACCAACTTGATGGCATCTGAGTCTGGGAAACACTGAACCAGTGGTTCTCAAACTTCCTGGTCTCAGGACCCCTTTACACTCTTAAAATTATTGAGGGCTCCAAATAGCTTTTGCTTATGTGGTTTCTAAGTATTTACCATATTAGAAATGACAACTGGAAACTATCTGAATTCATTAGAAAATGATAGCCATAAGCTGGTGGCTCCATAGAATAGACACATGACTATGACCCACAAAATTGGCAGTTTGAGCCCACCAGGCACTTCTCAGGAGAAAGAGGAAGTTTTCTGCTCCCTCAAAGATTTTCAACCTCAGAAGCCCTATATAGAGTTACTATGAGTTGGAACCAACTCAATCGCACTTAACAAAAAACAACCTGTTTTTGGAGGCCTTGTATGGTGCTGTATGATAAGCACTGGACTGCTAACCACAAGGTTAGAAGGCTCAAATCCATGAGTCACTCCTTGGAAACCCTATACAGGATCTCTGAGTCAGAAATGACTTGATGGCATTTAACAACAATCTATTTTTGTGAAAAGTAACTATTTTCTAAAACAAAAAATGTGTAGTGGGAAGAATAGCATAGTTTTACATTTTTGCAAATCTTAATATCTGGTTTACTAGTTGCAAAAATATATGACACCGACCATTGTTTTATGGTCTATGGCTAGAAGAGAGAGACATTAGATAATTCACCTCACCACACTAGTAGAAAACTGGACTCTCAAATCTACTGGTGCATTCAGCCTACTGGGATATCACATGCCATGTTGTTAGTTGTCATCAAGCCGATTCTGACTTATGACTACCCCATGTGTGCATAGCAGACCCTTACTCCACAGGGTTTTCAAGGCTGTGACCTTCCAGGAACAGAACACCCAGTCTTACTTCCAAGGCTCCTCTGAGTGGGTTTGAACTGCCAATCTCTTGGTTAATGGTCCAGTGTTTAGCCATTGGAGCTACCCAGGGGCTTCCACATGTCTTATTGCTCCTTGGAATTTCCACTGTTTGCTTAGAAGGAAACAAGAATAAAAAGGGCAAGTACTATCTCAGTTCTATTCTGTAAACCATCTTGGTCTTACAAACCCCTGAAAAGGTTTCAGGAAGTCCCAGGTCCTCACTGGTCCTCTAAGAATACTTGCTGGTGTGTATCCCATTCAGTTCTTCCCCATTCCCCTTGGAAGACAGTGGAGTGTGTCATCTCCTCCATGCTAGTTCAAAACTCATTTAAATGCACTCCTATCACCTGAGCCACCCAGCTCCCTTTTACAAGGGAGTAAACACCTGCCGGAGTAGCAAGTTAGAAGAGTATCTCGGCTTTGTGTAGCTTTTTCCTGAGACCCAGACCATTTAGGAGGGAAGACCAGAGACCCAGCCAAGCTGGGTGCCCTGGTGGCACCAGTCAAGAAGCAAGGGCACCTGCTCATGAACTTCTGTGATCTGTTTTCTTTTTCCTAAAAATTTAAAGAACTAATAACTAAAGAAATGTTTGCTTTTTGTCGTATAGTTTGGGGAGAGTTCTGGCATGAATTAGGTGATTGCTAAGTTAGAAGACATGTACAGAATTGGAAGACACAGCTTGTCCTGACAGACTAATTTTTCTTGATCATGTTTCTGTTTGAACCCCTCTCCCAGGTCTGTCTTCCAACGTGGTCCCTATGTACCTAGGAGAGCTGGCTCCTAAGAACCTGAGGGGAGCTCTCGGAGTGGTGCCTCAGCTCTTCATCACTGTTGGCATCCTTGTGGCCCAGATCTTTGGGCTTCGGAGTCTCCTCACAACTGAAGAAGGTGAGCTCGGGATGGCTCTAGATCCCTGGTCCTCCCATACCCCCCCTCTGTTCCTGAGCAGTAGACAAAAGCCTGACGTTTCAACTGTTGCTGTTTTTATTTTTCCTAATAAGCTGTCTCTTAGGAACCTCTCACAGCCATGAGGCTACAGTGCCTGTGTAGTGTTTGTGATGACAAACTGGCTTATGTTTTCAGTTCCTCCCATGAGACTGAGTAAGCAGGAAGTGCCATGGTCCTGCTTCTGGGGAATCAGCTTCTCTTGGTCTGTTGGGTGGCTGTTGGTACGGAGGCCTGCGGCTCAGTAAAGATGACCACCAGTGTGCCAGACTATGCTTCAGGCCACTGGACCCCTTTTCGTAAGAGCCTCCCAGAGCCACTGCATTGAAGGCATTGGTAAAAACAAGGCTCCAGGAATTGACAGCAAAGAAACTGAAGTCTTTCAACAAACTGAGGTAGCACTGGAGACACTCACTTATCTATGCCAAGAAATTTGGAAGACAACTATGTGAAAACAGACTGGAAGGGATCCGTATTAGTGCCCATTCCAAAGAGAAATGACCCATTAGAATGTGGAGATCATTGAACAGTATCATTACTATCACATGCAAGCACGATTTTGTTGAAGACAATGAAAAAATGGCTGCAATACTACATCAAGATGGAGTTGCCAAAAACTCAAGCCAGATTCAGAAGAGGAAATAGAACTAGGGATATCATCGCTGACATCAGATAGATTTGAGCTAAAAGCAGAGAATACCAGAAAGATGTTTATTTATACTTTACTGACTATGCAAATGCATTTGACTGTATGAATCATGATAAGCTATGAATAACATGGCAAAAAATAAGTATTCCAGATAACTGTGTTCATGAGGGAACTGTACATGGACCAAGAGGCAGTGGTTTAAACAGAACCAGGGGACACTCTGGTAGTGTAGTGGTTACAAATTGGGCTGCAAACCTTAAGGCCAGCAGTTCGAAACTACCAGCTGTTCCGCGGGAGGAAGATGAGGCGTTCTCCCGTAAAGATTTACAGCCTCGGAAACCCTGTACAGGGTCGCTATGGGTTGGAAACGACTCGACGGTACTTAACAACAACAACAACAAGGGGACATTGAATGGTTTAATATCAGGAAAGGTGTGTGCCGGAGCTATATTCTTTTGCCACATTTATTCAGTCTATATATTAAGCAAATAATCTCAGAACCTGGGTTATATGAAAATGAATGTGGCATCAGTATTGGTGGAAGATTTATTAACAACCTTTGTTATGTAGATGACACAATCTTGCTTACAGGAACCAAAGAGGACTTAAAATACTTACTGATTAAGATCAAAGAACAGTCTTCAGTATGGATTGAACCTCAATGTAAAAAAAAACAAAAAGCTTCACCACTGAACCAATAAATAGCATCATGATAAATGGAGAAAAGACAGAAGTTGTCAAAGATTTCATTTTACTTGGATTCACAATCAACACTCATGGAAGCAGAAGTTGAGAAGTTAAACAACATATTGCACCAGGCAAATCTACTGCACAAGACTTCCTCAAAGTGTTCAAGAGCAAAGATATCAGTTTGAGGACTAAGGTGTGCCTGACCTAAGCCATGAATAATTTCTTTTAGAAAGATCAGCACAAGGCTGGTCCCTAAGAGTTGGAGGTTCAAGCTATCCGAACTGTTGGACTTTTCTGACATGTTATACCCTTCCATAGTCTTTGATACCAATCACCACTCCTCTCTTCCCTCAAGCTCCAGGGTTATGCAAACGCTGCAACATCTCTTAAAACTCACAACTGTCAAAGGAAATGACTCATGCAATTATGGAGTCCTAAATCTGAAGTTCTGGTAGCGCAGTGGGTACGAATCGGGCTGTGAACCTTAAGGTCAGCAGTTTGAAACTACCAGCTGTTCTGCGGAAGAAAAAATGAGGCTTTCTGCTCCCATAAAGATTTACTGCCTCGGAAACCCTGTACAGGGTCACTATGGGGCTGAACTTTCATTTTTAACAGAAAACATTGAAGTAGCCACAAGGCACCCAGGTGGAGAGTCCAGCAGGTGCTGGAAGACCCGGGAGCCTCTAGTAGACGGAGCAGCAGTTGGAGTCTGAGAACTGAGAGACAGCTTGGGAGACAGTGTAGCCACTGAGAGGAAGATTATACCAGGGTCTGGCACACCCCCTCAGAGGGACAGTGGCCTGCCAGGGGCATTAACAACTCCTCAAAGGAGCCTGAACCCCTAGATGGTGCAAATGGCTAGCGCACTCAGCTGTGAACCCAGAGGTTGGCGGTTGAGTTCACCCAAGGTGCCTTGGAATAAAGGCCTGGTTATCTCAATGTCATACTGCCCAATGAGCAAGGTTGGTGCAGGCTTATTTGTGCTTACTTACTAATTTGTAGTGAACAATTATGTGTTTTCACCACATCAAATGTTCTACTTCTAATAAAGCTGGCATCTGTCTCTCTCCAATCCCCCAGCACCTTCTGACAGAATGAATCAAAGTCTCTTTTCAAAGTTACAACGTCTGACAGGCATGGAATACCCAGTCTGCAAGGTAAGTACACCTTATTTGTGTTTACTAATCTGTACTAAACAGTTTCAAATGCTTTTCACCACATCTTTGATAAGTGGAACCCATGTGAAACTGTTCTCTACAGATTAGTAAGTAAACACAAATACGCTTGTACTTACCTTGTTCATTAAGGAGCTCTGGTAGCGTATCAGTTACGAGTCAGGCTGGTAATCTCAAGGTCAGTAGTTCAAAACTACCAGCACCTCTGCAGGACAAAGATGAGGCTTTCTGCGCCCATGAAGATTTACAGCCTTGGAAACCCTGTACTATGAGCTGGTTCGCTATGAGTGGAACCGGATCCACGGCACACCACCACCTTGTTCACTGGGAGATCTACTTTCACAATATCAGCCACTGACAGCCTTAGGGAGCACAGTTCTCCTCTGACATACACAGGTCCCCGTAAGTAAGAATTGGCTCCATCATATCTAGGAATGGATAGAAGGAGTCTACACTATTCACTCACTTATATTTTTAAATAAAGGAGCTCTGGTAGCGTAGTGGTTACGAATCGGGCTGCGAACCTTAAGGTCAGCGGTTCGAAACTACCAGCCGCTCCGCGGGAGAAA